AAGCACTGCCATAACCCCATCCAACTGTGTCAGGAATCTTGGTGTGTTCTTTGACTCTTTCTTTTATATGAAAACCCATGTATCAGGGCTGTGCAAAGAGGCGAACTTTCACCTGTATAACATTGGCACTATATTGACCGTGATGCCACTAAAATGTTAATAAACGCTTTTGTTATGTCATTTTTAGATTCTTGTAATTCATTATTGTATTCTCTTCCTAAAATTCCTGTAAGTCAGCTACAGAAAATCCAGAATAAAGCAGTTCGAATTGTATCTCTTATCAAACCATCTGACCATCTGACCATATTACACCACTAAAATGTTAATAAACGCTTTTGTTATGTCATTTTCAGATTCTTGTAATCATTATTGTATTCTCTTACTAAAATTCCTGTAAGTCAGCTACAGAAACTCCTGAATAAAGCAGCTCGAATTGTATCTCTTATCAAACCATCTGACCATATTACACCTGTTCTAAAACAGTTACATTGGCTACCGGTTAATCAACACATCATTTTCAAAATTAACACAATCACTTTCAATTGTTTAAACGATCCTTCGGCACCATCCTATTTATCCGATTTGATTAAACAATATGTACCTTCTCGTTCCTTACGTTTATCTCATAAAAAAACAACCTGTATGTCCAGTACAGAAGTCAAAATTTGGTAAGAGAGCTTTTGCGTACGCAGCATCAAAAGAATGGAACGAATTGCCTCTGGAACTCCACAATAATCCAAACCTCGCTATATTTAAACGACGTCTAAAACCCCTGTTTTTACCCAAACGTTTGAACTATAATTTAAATGCTTCACTTTCCAATTGTATATCGTAACTTGACTATTCCTTTATATTCTTTTGTTTATTTGTATATACCTGTATGTTTTTTATAATCATATCTACATTGTAAAGCGCCACAGAGCAGTCAGACTGACTGAATTATCAGCGCTATAGAAAACGATTATTATTTATTTACTTTATTTATTTAGGAGAAATAATGATGCCATCTGTCTTTCCATCCATTACAATGTCTTCAGTCAAATTTTTGTCAATCTTACCCTATTGGAAATTCTTGCTTTACTGTTGAAAATAAATAACATTTATACTTGATACTCGACTTCATTTCTTTTGCGTGCGAGTATACATGATACAACATTCATATTGTAAGATACAACGATTCAATATATTGTTCATTATAAACACAAATATAAATTTGTTCTGTAATACAAGTATATTACGTAAATAATTCAATTTGCATTAAAAGTCCAGGCTATATTCAGCAAAAAGTTGAATTTTGATGCGCACTAATAATTAACTGTAATTATGGTGTAACGGTGATGAATTTGAATAGTTTTTAAAATCAAATAAAAATTGTGACCTCCAGAGGATCTACGGGCTAAAAGCATGATTTTTCGTACAATTTGGGGCCATAATCCAGGAAGTTATGGTCAGATATGCCCGAATATCAAAAGTATCGAGATCATTGGATAAAAAACATACATTTTAAGTTTCGTCGAAAATCGGATAACAAGCGGTCCATATTTTCCAAAAGCTAAAACTCCAGGCAGTTACCGTCCGATATGCGCCAATATCGAAAGGAACCGAACTCTTTTGGATATAAACATATAATATTTCAAGGTTTCGTCACAATCGGATAAAAATTGTGACCTCTAGAAATTCGAACTAAACCACCATTATGATGTAATGATTATACTATAGTTAAACGGTTTTTTTACAATCGGATAAAAATTGTGACCTCTAGAGGATCCACAAGCTAAAATCACGACTTTTTCGTACAATCAAGGGCCACAATTCAGGGACTTACGGTCCAATATACGCGAAGATCGAAAGGAACCGAGATCTTTGGATATAAACACGTGTTTTAAGTGTTCGTAAATCAGGGCCCGTAATCCAGGAAGTCACAGTCTGATATGCTTCAATATCGAGAGGAACCAAACTATTTGGGATGTAAGCCATATTTTAGGTTTCATCAAAATCGGATTAAAATTGTGACCTGTAGAGGGTCCACCAACAAAATGTGAACGGACGGACACATGGGCGAACAGGTGTGACGGCATAATACATCCACGTGGAAATGTGGGCGTATAATAAAACCCAATTGTATAAACGTGATCATAATTAGGCTGCAGTCAATTGATCTGGTCAACAAACCCCAAAATACGGCTTGCACTGTAATAAGACATGAGTAGAATGATGAGTACCAGAAAGGTAATATGCTTTTAAAAATCATGGGCAATCACTCTAGTTGTACTATTGTGAAAACCTTAACATTGATAGGCACCATCTTTATTATCCCAATTCTCGAATAATTGATGAAAATCAGACTCTAAAGTTTATTTCTTATCCAAATACATAAGTAGGGTTGGGCCAATATGCAACATTTTCGAAAAATGAAAACCGCCCGGGTGTTTCTATGGCGAAATTGACCGAATAACACGAATCCGGAAGAATTTAGCCCGAAAAAAGTGCTCTTTAGATTGGTGCAGGGCCATTTTTCAAAATGGCGTCAAAATCGATATTCTTTGCATATACTGTACATAATCACTTCTAATATCCACTGTAGGGTGTCTTTTATAGGGTTTTTGGGGTCAGAAAATTCATATCTGCAATAAAATGGCGCCAAAATCAACAATTCTTACCTTAGCGGTGCGAAAACACCCCCGTTATCCCACTGTATGGCGTCTTTTCTGCGATTTTTGGGGTCAGCAAATTCAAGTTTCGATATGAAACCACTTCAGAAAAATCCAATATGGCGGAAATCCAAGATGGCGGCCAAAATAGTGCCCGAAACTCCTATATTCCGAAAGCGCAGAGCGTAATTGTTTGCCGTGGTCGATGTATGGTGTCCCTAATAGGGTTTTTGGAGTTGGTGAGTCTCAATTATTGGACGTTTCTGATGATCCAAGATGCCAGAAATACAAAATGACGAGAGGAATCCCACGGAACACAAGCAAAATCCCCCGTCGAGATAAATGAAATCTCCACCTCCAGTAATCTAAAAAGAAGTATTTTCTAGGAAGTACTGAGAAGAGCATTATGTTTGAATCATTATATATCTCGAACCTGATTCATTTTTATTACGATTTTCGATTAATCCAATAATATATCATTTATAATTAAGTACTTATTATTTTATCATATTATTATGAATCATATCCAGTACAGTTCATTCAGTTAATATCATATTTTTTCGTTACAACGCAGATGTTCATAGTAGGCCAGATCATATGTCTTTTTCTCCAACCTTAAATTACTGATAATCTGGGGACCCTGAATCGTCAACCGAATTACCACGAGAATGTTCATATCTGTACGTGCAATGATCCATTATTGCTTTCGCTATCACGTCTGCAAATGAATTAAAACTCCATTCAAACAAGCTTCCCACATAGTGCCATCTTAAGCAGTTCATCGACATCACTGTCTGGTTTTATAACACCGAGTGGCGTTCACGGTGGCCAGAAAGTCTCTTTCCAGTTTCTTTGCCTCTTGTACATCAGGTCCTTTCCTCGACTTCTTCCAAATTGCCCTCCTCTCCTCATCGCTCTTTCCACGAAACTTGAGTCCACTAAGAAACGATTGGTCGCTACCACTGACTTCATGGAATGTGTCCGAATTGTTGTCATACCGCCAGCTGTTCGAATCTGATTGCTCAATTGTGCAAACCTCGAATCGCATCCAAGGTTTGTCAACGGTGTGTACGCAAGCGTAAGGAAGATGAGAAAAAGAAGAAAATACAGAAAACTCAACAAATTTTTGCTGAATGCAAAAAAAACACGGTGGTCCAGTTACTCCGGATTCTGTAAGTGTTTTGGACGACCTAACAGAACAGAGAGGAGTTAGAGTCGATGGCAAGCTCAGATTCCAAAAGTTTACAATATCGGAACTAAAAAGAGCAATACTCGGTGTTATAAAACCAGACAGTGATGTTAGCGATGCTGTCGATGAACTGCTTAAGATGGCACTATGTGGGATGCTTGTTTGAATGGAGTTTTAATTCATTTGCAGCAATAATGGACCATTGCAGGTACAGATATGAACATTCTCATTGTAATTCGGGTGACGATTCAGGGTCTCCAGATTATCGGTAATGTAAGGTTAGAGAAAAAGACATATGATCTGGCCATTCTGAATTCCTGGCATATTGGATCATCAGACATGCCCAATAATTGCAGATTTGGATTCGCCGACTCCAAAAAACCCTATTAGGGACACCATACATCGACCATTGTTGAGAATTGTTGATTTTGGCACCATTTTGGACGCCATATTGGATTTCCGCCATATTGGATTTTCTGAGATGTATTATTATTGCAGATATGAGTTGTCTGACCACAAAAACCCTATAAAAGACACCCTACAGTGGATATTAGAAGTGATTATGTACAGTATATGCAAAGAATATCGATTTTGACGCCATTTTGGCCGCCATTTTGAAAATGGACCTGCATCAATCTAAAGAGCACTTTTTCGGACAAAATTCTTCCGGATTCGTGTTATTCGGTCAATTTCGCCATAGAAACACCCGGAAGATTTTCATTTTTCGAAAATGTTGCATATTGGCCCAACCCTAACATAAGTGTAGACTATACAGAGAAAAAGAAATTGAAATTGACTTGCTAAGTCCTATTTATAGCACGGCTTTAGTGATTTAACAGGTTTAACCACAGAGGCAGTGTTAACGAATGAAGGGTGATGACTTGTAACATTGACACCTGTCAATAATGAGTGAATAAATACTGTTCATGCTCGTTGTTATTGCACAGAAAACCCGCCCAACGTGACTTCTCGATAAGATTTCTAATAAAACTGGCGTAAACTATCAAAAGTGTGCAATAACATTGAAATTGTCTAGTTATTGCACAGTTAAGCCCCATCCAGTCTATTAAGAGCGAAAGCAACCTTCTTAATCAACGAAAAGAACAAAGGAAGATTCTCCGTCCATGTTACAAAGATGTTTCATAGCAGAGTATACTTACTTCACATGGTGTTCGGCATTCACAAATTTCACAACCTTTCACGTTTCTACGCAGACCATATCTACATTGTTGACCACATACAGCAGGAATACACCCAACTCCATCTGTTTCATTGTCCAAGTCTGTTAACAAAAATAAATAATGAAAAATTAGTTCATTGAAAGTCCTGACTTTTTTTTATTATGTTTAAAGCTATTTTCTGACTTGGCTATTAAACAGTACTATTCTACATGTTCAAATTAGATTGTACGTAAACCTGTCAAGCAATCAATAAGATATCAATGTTGTAACTTTCAATTTCTGGGTCATACGTCTGTTTAAATGGTTTTAAAGGAAATGAACGAATTCTTGTGCAAAATACATTACTATATGTATGCCAATGTTAGGATTCGCGGTAGTTTTTATATATTCCTTTAAACGTATTATATAGCAGAACAATAGAAAGTATAACCATGGATTATCATTAGCATAATTTACATTTTATTTGCCTCTAAAATGGCGACATCCTTTGCTTCCTTTAACGATTACGTTAAACCCCATTTCATTTCATTAACGATTTTACCACTATATTGATACATTATCTGCATTCTTTCTATTAAAAAATCAGACAAGTATCAATCTTCTGTACCTATATGTGAGGACTATCCAACCCTAAATATTAATATGAAATGACCTCTTCTACTTGCTGTGCATGATCACGGCAATGATGTCAAATATCAATTCCAAACACCTCTGAAACTACTGGAATACTGAGGAATGTTGATTTGTTTTGTTGTTTTTTGCCCCCCACCCATCATATTTTGTACAGTACTGGTCAGAACAAATAACCATGGAAAGAAAGACCATTGGCCTTTACTCTCGGTTTTATTGTGACAAATGATTCCATCCCATTTGAATATGCTTATATACAGTTTCTGTCACAAACTCATTCGCCCGCGACCCACACACAAAATAAAACAAATCACAAAAGATTATGGAAATAATCTTACGATAGCAATATGGCGTATCAGGATATCTCATTCTTGTTCCTTGTTGTTCTGTTCCATTTCTAAAGACACAGTAACAATCCCCAATACTACCATTATTGATATTAACTTCACACTGCCTTGGCTTAAATCCACCAGATTGGGTACAGTTAGGACTAGGAATAAAACTACTGTGAATCATATCAATTAGAGGTGAGACCATAGAACCAAAACTAGAAAGTACCATGTTGGTTATTTGTTCTGTGGTGTTGGTAATATTTACTCCTTCAGGAAGACCAATAGAACCAGGCTCTATGATTGTATCATCAGATACCCACGAAAAGTTGCCCTTGTTGATGCGAGTCACCAAATTAAAGGTTTCTCTACCCAGTGTACACAGTGAATTCGGTTGAACTGAAATAAATATACTATCTATCAGTTTGAGTAATTCAAATAAGATTTCTGGTTATACATTGATCTTTTCAAGTTTACATGTGTTTCTACAGATGATTCACTGAATCCCTACTCTGAATAAAAATCTGGCCTGATAAAATAGATAAAGTTTGGGCAGGAAAGTACACTCACTACTTTTACAGTTCACTTGCGGACACACAAGAGTGAGTGGGGTGAACGTGATGGAAAACACATCCACAAATATGATATGTTTGTAAGTGACAATTTTCAATAGTTTCTGTTATCCAAAATGCCACGATTTAGTTCATCGATACGCATTATTCCCACTGAAGCATGCCAGAAAATCAAACGCCAAGGTCACGAAAGCGGCAAGTTCCAGGCCAACTGAACGATATATTGTATTAATATTGCTAGAATTTTTACTCTTATAATTAATGATAGCATTATATTGTATTAATCAATATCTCTGGTAAGTTAGTAGATTCACATATTTGTACTTAAATTAAGTTAGCGAATGAGTGACAGATGGTTATATAAAAAAGAGTTATAATGTGGTAAACATTCAATTCTAGGTTGATAACAGATATCTTATGGGATGTTTCTCCAGTAAATTTCCATTACCATATAAGGGTGGGTTTCGGCGTCATTTGGCTCAATTAACCATTCTCTCTAATTATTTACATCATATTTGACCAATTAGATAATGGAAGGTCCAAACCCAAGCTACACAACTATCATATGTGTGAGCAATCGCCAGATAGCAGCTTGATTCCAGTAGGGAAAAGATGTAGCAATTGCTATCAGCAGACTCGCCCAGTGAGTCTGGCTGGATGAGGTTTGAAAGGATGGCTTTATTCTATTATGCATTTTACCATATGTAAGCAGCTATGATATATAAAATGTAAAAACGAACTGTTGCATTGTTATTCCTGGTAAGACAAACGTCTTAATAAAACAGTTAGAAGTAAATACACAACGTGAAGCAGAAGCAAAGGCAGCTAGAGACTAATTCTAGATGATCACAAGGCTACCAAAATATGTAGTACGAAAACATGCATGGGTCGTACGTAGGATGTGGCGACCGGTAAGGGTCACCCGCTCTCCACGTCAGACGAAAGACGCATAGTACTACAATATTTCCAATCGAATAAAACGCAATAAACTCAACCCAATCATTTATTTCATCTCCTTAAGATTGTCGGATCGTGTGCAGACTGCAGATATTGCTACAACATATGAAACTATCCCCATTGGTTTTGTAAGCGGTAGTTCAACCTGTCAACAGTTTTCAGTTCCGAAGTGCATTTGTTTATATCCGTATGCCAGCTACCAGAAACAGCATTGGGCAGGTGAAAGCAGTTTCAACTAAAATCTATTAAAATTCCATTTTAATTTACAATCGATCTTCGTGAAACACACAAAATTTAAAATTCCAATTTAAATTTAATTAATATCTATTTTAGTGCTTTTAGCATAAGATATTGTGAAACAGGGCCCAGTACCTTCTACAAAAATAATAATGTCATTTTATATAGTTACCGTCATTGTATATATTATTCAACAGTTTATTTTGAACTAAATCTGAACTGAAAACTTACCTGAACTGTTACCCGATCTCTGACAAAAGATTCCCGAAAATCCAGGTGCACATTCACAGATCCTGCCATGGAAGATATCACCAAGACAACGACCATGATTCCAACAAAGATTCATTGCGATTGGATAAGTACAGATTATTTGGGATATATCCTTGGTAATGTTTGGTGCTGAAAATTAAAATAAATGAAGCGTTGTTACAAAACAAATTGACATCCATTGTTGGCACGTAGTAAGACATGTTTAATCTTTCTTGAAAACCTGATATCATAATTTTAGGACATAACCAACAAATATTTGTTCTACTTTTGAATTCATACCAATACATAATGAAAAGAGAAATACAGTTTGAGTTTAACGTTAAATAGTTGTTATCCAGGTAATTATGGTACAGTATATCATTATTTTAGTAATTTACATACGCACGTACCTGGTAAAATGCAAAATATAGGAGAAGCTACCTGTACTTTTTGGCACATACAGATAACCAAGGATCAAAGGTATGACTTACAGGGCCCATAACAAATGAAAGGTGTCAAAAAGTGGAAATAATTGTAGTGTACATGATTCGACGACAGTTCGCATTGGACAAGATATATACAGCAGTTTCAAACATGGTGTTGGTATCTGAATTTAAATCTAGGTTTTCTTAATTACTCATTACCTTTTTGTAAAGGTAATGACACTTTCTATAATAAATTGTATTTATTTTAGATAATGAAAAGTTTTATTGGCCTCATGTAAAATAAACCCCTTTGCGAAATAAAGGCTTTATGGGGATACCCGATTGAACGTTCCGTAACTGAATTCTCTAAATCCGAAAAATAGTGACAATCGAGTGAAAAGATTAATTTCAGTTACAATGCGTACGTTGACTGCTTAAGAAAATATCTCAACCAACGATGACAACTACAACTTATTCGTTGAGTTTAATTACGTCACGACTCTAACCATACCACCTTCGTTGTCGGGGCTGGCAGAACTATGATCGGACTGAATTCAGCGTCACCCAATTGCAGTTCAGTCAATTCCAGACATTCCGGACTGACAATAGAGCGGCAGTGTGAAATTAGCTCGACTTTCGTTATTTGGATATTGTCGAATAACGAAAAAAACAACCAGCTCGTTTTTCGATATTGGCAAATATTCAAACTTGAAACTCAAGAAAGCAGATTTGATGGATGTATATCTACAGAAAGTCCCCAAAATACATTTGAATCAATAAGTTTTCTAAAACAAACTAAAGGTATCATATACTAAGCAGCAAAAAAAAACCCGTCAGGTTAGTATGTTACTCTGAACAGACGCATTGCATAAAACTTGCCAAATGTTTTTTATTGTATATTTGTGACCACATCTCCAACTTTACCTGAGCAATAAGGAGCCTTCCAGGAACCCAGGAAGTGTTCTCAAAAACGCAACCTGACTTCTGAGATGGTAGTGTGTTCTCTATGATTTCCATGTAACTCATGCTGCACGTGCTCTTCAACGGGACCAGTCCTATAAAATGCACCCCATACCTGGTTGAATCATTCACATTACAACGTCAGTAGCATGCCACGACTCACGACAGCGCAGATGAACTAGGCGCTTGGAAGACTCCGGCCAAACTGCCCAATCCGTTGCCAATCACTTCCAGGTCAATGTTCGGACCATCTACATGTAACTCATGCTGCACGTGCTGTTCACCGGGTACCAGCCCTATAAAATGCACCCCCATACCTGGTTGAATCGTTCACACTACAACGTCAGCAGCATGCCACGGCTCACGAAGCGCAGGGGAACCAGGCGCTTGGAAACTCGACGAAGGCCACACTGCCCAAGGCCTTGTCAATCACTTCCAGGTCAATGTTCAGATCATCTACAGGCTTCAGCAACGCTTTCGGGCCACCAACACCACGGATGATCGGCCCCGAACTGGTAGACCAAGGGTTACCACAGAGCGACAAGACCGCCATGTTGTGCGACAGCACGTTCGGAATCCCTTTACACAGGCATATGAGACAGCACGTCAGGCAGTGGGAACACACGGATGATCGGCTCCGAACTGGTAGACCAAGGGTTACCACAGAGCGACAAGACCGCCATGTTGTGCGACAGCACGTTCGGAATCCCTTTACACAGGCATATGAAACAGCACGTCAGGCAGTGGGAACACACGGAAGACCGTAGACCTTACCGTGGACCGATCCTCACCCCTCGCCATCGACGTGAACGTCTACGGTTTGCCCAACAACACTAGAACTGGCGACACAGGCAATGGAGAACTGATCTGTTCACAGATGAGAGTCGGTATTGCGTATCAACTGCAGATGACAGGACCTGAATATGGCGTCGACGTGGCCAGCGTTATTCTGACCAATGTGTCACGGAACGAGACTCATGGGAGGTCCAAGCATAATGATGTGGGGTGGAATCGGCCTGAACCAGAGAGTGGGTCCTGTGGTGTTCCAAAATCTTGGTCCAGGGAGAGTAGGCGGCATCAAAGCAGTGCGCTACATCGATCAAGCTCTCAGACCCCACGTCATACCACATTTCGCACGTCATCGAAACAACGTTACTCGGGACTTTCTACAGCAGAAGACTTAATAACGTTGTACCGAGACCAAACACAGCCGATGGATTGCGCCAGGCTTTTCTGATAGTGTGGTTCGAGGTGCCAATGGCGTTCATCAATCGTCTGGTCCACTCCATGTACAGACGCTGCGCTGCTGTTATTGATACTCGCGGTGGACACACCAGATACTGATGTATAGACTGTGCACAGACTCTAAACCTTCTCTCGTAGTAATGTCTTGGAATTGTGATGAATTAATCACTTATGTGTCAACATACTGTTCACAAAAAATTGCTTTTATCTATTTAGTAAGTCGTTTTGTAGAGTGATTTGATTTTTTTGGTGTTTTTTGCTGTTTAGTATAAATAAGGATGCCTGAGCAGAGCATTTTGTCGGGCAGTTCGATTTTCCCGAAATTCGGATTCAACCTTCACTATGGTGGAACAGTGATCTATTGAAACTGTTTTTAAAATCTGATAATAATTGTGTCCTCTAGAGGATCCACAAGCTAAAAATATCATTTTTCGTACAATCAGGGACCATAATCATGGGAGTTATGGTCTGATGTGTGCAAATATCCACAGGAACTGAGATCTTTGAGATATAAACATATATTTTAAGTTTCATCAAAATAAGACACAAATTGTAACCTCTAACTGGTCCACAACCTTGGTATTACATACTTCTACACAATTTGCGTTCAAGGAGGGGCCATTTTGACGGGCAGTTACAGTCCGATTTTGACGAAATTCGAACTCAATCATGATAAACAATCGGCTGTGGATAAATTCTTACCAGCAACATAAACTATTGAATAGAAATAACGCATAAGTCGCATTCTGTATCCCTGTATGCGTATTGGTAGATTAGTTAGATCTTTAGTTCCTAATAATGAAACTAAGGGTTTGTGATCGGTTTCTATAAGAACTTTTCACATGCCCAAACTGTAACTAAGGCTTCCTTATCAAATTGGAGGTATTTTTGCCCAGTGTCCGTCAAGCTACGCGATGGGTATGCAACGGGTTTCCATCCACTTGAATGTCGTTGTAGTATGACAGTTCCAAGTCCAAATAAGGATGAACCGGTACTCACTATAGTTTCCACAATATCCACAATGAACCAGAACGAAGTGATTTGTAAGGGCAGTCAAGTTTTCTATAAACTTCGAGAGCTGATTGACCATTGACCATTAGGCTGTAGGAAACTTTTGGTGGCAGGTGTTTTGTCTGAGTCTGCTTTGATTCCATCTACACTGACTACTTGACCTAGAAATCTGATCTCTGATGTACGTCACTGACATTTTGATTTATTCAAAGTAAGTTTATGTTTACGAAGTCTACGAAGAACAAGATTAAGATTCTTGTCATGCTCAGCATATCACCACCCGTACACAACAATATCATCCACGAGACACGCTACTCCATTAAGGCCTTGTAATATTCTGGACATGCGCTTCATGAAATGTTCAGGATCACTGGAAATCCCAAAAGGTAGTCAGTTGTAACAGAATCGACCATAGGGACTCATGAAAGTAGTGAGGAGGGCTGACTTTTTAGTTAATGTTATTTGATGGAATAAGCTGTTTGCATCTAATTTTCAAAAAACGCGTGCACCTGCCATCTGTCCTAATACATGTTCAACAGAGGGTAACACATGTCTCTCGCGTTTGCCAGCTTTATTTAACCTGGTTAGATCAACACATATGCGGACAGCGGAAACTTCGCGTAGACCTGTGCCTGCGTTTTTAGTTGTTTTGGGAATGACGAATAGAAGTACACACCAAGGTGTAGGAACATCAACTGGTTTTATGACATCTAAACGCTGCAATCTCTTAAACTCCACTTCGACCTTAGTGTCATTAATGGCAAATCTGCCATCTGGATTTCATATTCTTCATTTAATATACCTAAACCATCAAAAAGTTCAGGAAAGTTTTCTTCAATCGAAGCTTGATCACTAATTTCACTAATGGAAATTATTACACCCAAGGATTGACAAGCAGTATTACTCAACAATGGCATTTGTAAGACTTTTGTAGAAATTTTGCTCTTTAAGGTAGTAGCATTATATTAATTAATATCTGTGACAGATTGGTATATAAAAAAGAGTTATAATTTGGTAAACATTAGCTGGTTCCGTGGGAATGAGAATATCATGTCTAACACGTGATCGGAAAATTACGATTGCATCAGTTGGCTTAATTAACCAATCTCTATGATTATTTACATCATATTTGACCAATTGGATAATTGAAGGCCCAAACCCCAAAGCTATAAAACTATCATATTTGTGAGCATTCGGCAGGCAGCAGCTTGATTCCAGAGGAGAAAAGATGTAGCTATTTTTATCAGCAGACTCGTACCAGCGAGTCTGGCTGGATGGGGTATGAGAGAATGACTTTACTGTAATTTACTACGTTTGTATCTATGTATCCAGCTATGATATATAAAATGTAAAAACGAACTGTTGCATTGTTATTCCTGGTAAGACAAACGTCTTATCTACTGAGAAGACAAACGTCTTAATTATTTAGATAAGAAGAAGAGAATACACAACGTGAAGGGGAAGCAAAGGCGACAATTGAAAATACTAGACAATCACAAGGCTACTAAGATATGTAGCAAGAAAAGATGCATGGGCCACACGCCGGATGTGGCGACCGGTATTAGTACGTGGGCCGCTTTCCACGTCTGACAGACGACACATGGTACTACATATTTTGAGATTTGCTATGACAAAAATAACTTCAGCACGAGATCGACCTTGCCATGAAATAATTGTTTTGAAATAATCACAGATATTTAAACGATGATTATCAGGACCAGTAAGTACTCTATCTGAAGTATGAAGTCGATGATGTTGAATATTTTGCCTGTATAGCCATTTTGGGATAACTGTGACATCAGCTCCTGAATCTGACTTGAAACGTAATTTGGTGTAATCCACTATAACTGTGACGCGTCAGTCATCTTTTATTGGTTGAGAATGTGAAGATTCAACAGCACCAAAAAACTGTAATTGTTGTTGTCCACTTCATTACTATTCTCTGTTTCAGAAACTTCATGTGTACTTTTATCTAATTCACCATCATTGACAGCACGATCTGTACTGTATATTGACTTCTGAAATGTGATGAGGATTTTGACTTTGCCTGACACATTGATTGAAAATATTCCTTCTTATTTCAGGCTAGACACTTTTAATTTAAAAATTACTAGCTTGACAAAAGTTTCGTTGATGCGACTCTTTACCACAATACTAACACTTTGAATGTCTGTATGAGTCAGCTTTCAGGCTTGCGGGACTCGGACCGATGGCTCTTGAATGGCTGTACGAAGAGAACTTGGAAAAGCTAGTTTTCTTTAATGATTATGTTGTCACTTGCAATGGCCATGAACTTGATGGAGATTCTCTTCAAATGGCGGTTCAACCATAGATTTTTCCTGATAATGCTGTAATGATATACTTCGATGTAAAATGACTTCTGCTGCTTTACAGTATTCTACAGATTTCGTTAAAGTAAAGGTTGGTTTTCTTGCGTATTATCATAGATGCCACACACCATGCGATCTTTGATAAGGGAGTCATTTAAAACAGAAAATTCACATCTGTTGGCCATTTTACAAATAGCAGAGTGAAATTCTTCAAATGGTTCATCTTTACCTTGATATCTGGTATTGAAATTAAATCTTCCAACTGTGAGATTTTTCATAGGTGTGCAGTATTCGGTAAACTTGTTCAGGATATCTTCGGATTTCTCTTTATCTTCGGATTTCTCTTTATCTTCGTTTTCCTTCCATTGGAAACCATCGATAACTTTTATGGCCTCGAGACCAATGACATGCTGTAGGATGTTGGCATTTACGCGCTCTCACTTACTGTCGAGGCCAGCAGCTACGAGGTATACTTTGAATGCTTGCTTGAATTGACGAAAAATTTCTTTTAAATTTCCTTCAAAACTGTGTTTTTCAGGAGGAGAGAGGTTGTTCATAATTGTTCAGTATATGCAGACAATATAGATTTTACGAATATGTCTTTCAGATCCAATCAAATTTGATTATTAGACGAGTAGAGTTGGGCCTAGATCTGCGACTCATTGTCTGAGACAAAATGGCGGAAACTTTTCAACGTTTACATGCGGTTGAAAATCCTCGTTTGATATAAAATCTTGATGGAAATTTACCATTTAAATAGCTCCTCCCTATCCTCCACTTCTGACACCATGTTACATGTCTGTTTGGTCTTCATTAAGAGGGTGCTTATAACAAAATATTGGGACATTCTTGGGGGCTCTCTAAATTTTTGCTCCATTACAGATCGGCTCATATGATCACGTGACATCTAGAATTACAGTAAACCTGCTAATATTTGATACCACTACAATATACATCCATCAAATCTGCTTTTACGAGATTCAAGCTCGTTTTTCGACATTCTCCAATATGACAAAACAAGGAAAAGGTGCAGTTTTTATGTGAATTAAAGTTTGAATATTACAAAACGAATAGATAATTTTCGCCATTTGCCAATATAAAAAAAGAAGAAAAACGAGCATTTTTTATGTGAATCCACTGCTCAGGCATCCTCGTTAATGATATTTCATTTTATCAAAGGAGAGAGAGAGAGAGAAATGGGGTTTAACGTCCACTCGACACAAACTAGGTAATTTCGGGACTAACACATGGTTCAATTTTATTTCAATAATTCGCTTGCGCGTAGGGGTCTTTAGCAGTGGCTCAATGACAGTCAATGAGATTCAAGTCTGAATATCGATATTCGCCAATATAAAAATACAAGGAGAAAGAACATTTTTATGGGAATCCACTGCCCAGGCATCCGCAATTCATGATATCTTTAGTTCGTTTTAGAAAACTGATTTAATCAAATGTGTTTTGGAGACATTCTGTAGATATACATCCATCAAATTGAGATTCAAGTCTGAATATCGATATTCGCCAATATAAAAATACAAGGAGAAAGAGCATTTTTATGGGAATCCACTGCCCAGGCATCCGCAATTTATGATATCTTCAGTTCGTTTTAGAAAACCGATTTAATCAAATGTGTATTGCAGACATTCTGTAGATATACGTCTATTAAATCTGCTTTTTCGAAATTCAAGTTTGAATATAGAAAAAAGAGTTGCGCGTTTTTCAACATTCGCCAATATCAAAAAACAAGGAGAAGGTGTATGTTTTATGTGAATTCACTGCTCATGCATCCTCTTTTACGATATGTTTAGTCCGTTTTAGAAAACTGATTTAATCAAATGTGTTTAGAAGACATTCTCTAGATATAAATGATTAAAATCTTTTTGAGATTAAAATCTTTTTGAGATTAAAATCTTTTTGAGCTAGATTAAAATCTTTTTGAGCTAGATTAAAATCTTTTTGAGATTAAAATCTTTTTGAGATTAAAATCTTTTTGAGATTCAAGTCTGAATATCGAAAAAAAGAGTAGCTCGTTTTTATGTGAATTCACTGCTCAGGCATCCTCTTTATGATATCTTTAGTTCATTTTAGGAAACTGATTTAATCAAATGTGTTTTGGAGACATTCTTTAAATTTACATGACTAAAATCTTTATTTTTGAGATTCAATTTGAATTCATCCATTAAATCTGCTTTTTCGAGATTCAAGTTTGAATATAGAAAAACAAGTGTTTTGGAGACATCAAATCTGCTTTTTAGTGATTCATGTCTATTCGGCAATATATACTCTTCAAAAAATGTAGGGGATATTGAAATGCAAATACCTATGCAGGTTGTGATACGATAAATAGTCATGGACACTTGACATGCTTTGAGAGTATGTTCACAGATGAAGAACTTATCGCCCCAACAGAACCACTGAGTTGCACCCGCGACACTCTGGATTTCATCGATAGGGTGCTCGCGTTTGGAGGCGTGTAAATGAGCGTCATGCTAACGTTAACGTCAGGCAGCATATCAAATTCGGGCGTGGGTCTGTTATGGTGTGGGCAGGAATCACCATGACTGGCAGAACGGACTTGCATATTGTTCAAGGAAGGGTCACTGGAGTGTACTACCGTGACCACATCCTGGCACCGATTGTTCTGCCCTTTGCTCAACGTGCAGGTCGACGTTTCATATTTCAAGATGATAATGCCCGTGCCCACTGCGCTCGTGTCGTGAATGACTACCTCCAGCGTCAACATACTGTCCATATGCCTTGGCCAGCCATGAGTCCTGACCTTTCCCATATAGAGCATGTCTGGGATATGATCGGGAGACGTATTCGTCGGCGTCAACGTCAACACTGCAAGAATTGGCCGTGGCACTGCAAGAGGAGTTGGTTAGATTGCCCCAAATCGTGATTGGACGGTTGATTAGGAGCATGCCACCACGAATTGCTGATTGTCTGAGGATTGGTGGAGCAATTACTCATTATAACGACAAAAATCAAAAACGTCCATTTTCACTTTTGACAGTGTATCTCTGGGGCCGTCAGATAAGCCACCCATAAGAACTGTTTATGTTTCATGTGTAGGCAATTGGCCTGTTATTAACATACACTGGTTACCTCTAATAAAAACAGCAGTGCATTTCCGCAGTTTTGTATTGTTTCTGAATATCCCCTACTTTTTTTTGAAGAGTATATAAACAAGGAGAAAGTGCAGTTTTTATGTGAATCCACAGCTCGGGCATTCTCATTTATGATATCTTTCGTTCGTTTTAGAAAACTTATTTAATCAATTGCGTTTTGGGGACATCCTGTAGATATACTTCCATCAAATCTGCTTTTTGAGATTCAATATCGAAAAACGAGCTAGTTGTATTTCGTTATTCACCAATATCGAAAAACGAAAATCTATAAGACGTACCTGTACAGGGGGGATAACCTGGGTAGCTAACCAAACTTGATTTATTGCGTCCTTGTTCGTCTACACAGTAACATTTTCTAGTCTTGTTGTTGCTATACATATCATAATTATCTACACACTGTACAGGACTAAAGCTCCCATCACTTGTACAATTGACCTCCATTTTACTGGTCATTTCTGTCATATTCATCAAATGGCGAATCATCATAGAATTAGGAGTTACAGGTCCAAAGGCTATTCTGTAAAAGGCCCTTCTCTGTTCACATCTTGTTTGTTCTGGAGAAAAAGAAAAGGAAGCGAATGAAATATTATAACGGGCCAGCTACAAACATTCTAGAACTAAGAAGGGTATTTTTGTTGCAAGGAAACTATACAACCACCAGAAAATCCATGGGATAAGGCTGACCACCTCACCCCTTGGCATTTACAATAACGGTTTCAAAACCATGAAATTTAAAAAGATACTATCACTTTTACCAAGAAAAAGGTGCCATTAATTTTGATTCTTATCATATTTAAAACATGGTGCCTAACCTAAATTATCTAAAGGCAATGTACTAGTTAGTTAGAGAAAGTCATATTGCCCATTAACCCTTGCAGTCTGTTTCAAAAACGCTAATGTAACATTCCACAATGACATTCTGAATATAAGCATTCTTTTTTTTTCAATTTGCATTGTCTGTGCTGTTAATAACAGTGTTACCATGTACTGTTTGCTCTGTGTTTTGTGAAACAGTTTCGCTCCACCATCTATTAGTTAAGGGACACAGGAACTTTTTTAGGCAGACATTTTATGTGTTACCCCCAAGGCTCATGCTGGCGGTCAACAAAGTTGCAATTTGCAATAAAAAAAAATAAATGTGGCGATTACAATTCAATTTTGGCGATAGTTTTGATGATAACATTAATTTTTGATTTCTTTTTTAAAAATTGCGGAAATAAAATCTTAAAAGTCTAATCGTAAGTATCCTAGATTGACCATTAGTTTGAGTGTCAATCACAATCACGTGGCGGGATACAATAAATTAATGAACTAGCTGATAATATAGAACGTGTCAATGAATAATACTATATCATTTGTCTTGGATTAATAGTTGATTGGTAATTGCCAATGATAAACCCTATCCCAAGTCATTATTTACTCATAATAATTCATCCACACAGTGATTATCTGATGTTTTTGTTTTGTCTTAAAAAATAAAAGGAAATAATCAAAAAGGCCGATAAATAAATATTTCAATAGTTGAATTTCATTTACTGTGGCTTCATATACGGTATGTAAAATATACAAGCATGCCTAATTAGACACTGGCCATTGCTATTTCAAATTAAATCATCACCAAGGGTTGGAAACGTGGTAACGTAAGAACGAGTCGAATAGCGACGATTCTTGATTGAGAAAACGATCCTCTATCAGTAATTCAGATTCTGATACAGTACTGTCACGGTACCTGAAAATAACAACAGGCCTATTGTACAGCAAAACGCAAATTTAAAGAAAACTTGAAATTTGGCAATCCTTGGATGAGATTTGACGTGTAAACACGGATAATATATTGTTCTCAAATAAAACATGATCTTAGTTAGGCATCTCAAAATTGGGTAAATGTATTAGGCAAAGAAGGATTCTGTAAGTTTTTATATATAGCAGGCCTACATACTTTAATTGTTTTATTATAGGCCTACCTTAGAAATAAAATTCTGGTCTATTTTGGCGGAAAAAAATGAAAGCCAGTGTGAGCCCTGGTTACCCCACTTAACATGTTAGCTATATTGTTACATTGACTTGATGACGGCTATCAAGACACATTGCATCCTTCGGGCTGCTATAATTTTACATTTTATGGTGCAAGTCTTTTGGGATTTTCTATACCTGAAGAAGGGCATATGTCCGAAACACTGTATTAAATTACATTCTTTACCAACATTAGTTCACATTTTTCCGGAACTTACAAGGGTCCATCATTGCATTTAATCAATATTAAAGATGCATTATGTAAGAGCTAAACCTGCATATTGCGGGGTTTTTCTGGCTTCGTGTGTTATATAAATTATAATTTAAACATAACAAGACAAGCCCATAATCAAGTGTTAAGGCCATCGGATGGCTCTGATTTTATGTTGATTATAACACCACCGTCATTTAAAAGGTTAATGATAAAATAGATAATCGAGACTTAAACAATCTACGCTACCTCTTGTCAAAACTTTGAACACTCTTAACTTCGCAGAGATTATGGATTTTTAACATTTATAGCAAGAACGGTCCGCTCTTTATCTAATTCTTACATAATGCATTTTAATGAACATAAAACAGTTACCTTGTGGGTGTGGAATTTCACAGAAGATACCAGATCTTGTTGTAGAACATTTACATAGTAGGCCATTCTTAACGTCACCTATGCACTCTGAATACTGATCATTCATTTGACATCTAGCAGTTAAATTTGATCGCTCACAGATCATCTCTACATATATAAAAACAAGAACCAATTATCACTTGTCCGAACATAAGAAGGAAAAGGGAACAACTCTTTAGGATTAATTGACTAACTAAAGTGGGGACTAATAAAGACAAATTATCCAGGACAAGTTTGAGGATATTTACAATGAGTGTGACACTCTCTTTGACATTATCACTATGAACATGAGACTCTCTATAGCTAGGACAAGAATTAGTGTGAGATTATCCATGATAAGTGGGAGACTCTAGTGTGACTATCTAGAACCAGTCTGACACACCAACGGAAAAGATTCTCAGTGAAAACAAAATTGTCCATGTACAATATGGTCAATAGCCGAAAGTAGCAATGGATGTCAAACATACGGTCCACTCTCTCTTCAAATCGTGACACAATTTATCAGCTTAAAATCTAATATATATCTGCAGAACTCTTCACATGTTACCCCGTGTTACTACCCAGTGTTATTCAGTTCATGTTATAATACGATTTTGTTTGTAATTTGTACCACCTTTTCTTCATCAACACATTTAAAATTTGTGACTTCACAATCCTTGGGTAAATTATTTTATTTACTAACAGGCGCCGAGGAAGGGATAATGTACACATATTACTTACTATTAATATAACAATTGTCTCCCGAGAAGCCTTCTTTACATTGACATCGATGGCCACCATTAGCACTAATTACACACACAGCATTCTCAGAACATGGTTGACTTCCGCATGGATCATATATATTAACATCTAATGTAAAAGTAAATAAGTAAAAACTGGGTTCAAGTGATACCATACAGTCTTGAAGCAGTGTTTAATTTGATAAATCTACACCCAGGCACTGCTGTATTAATGTATAAGTTTTGTGTTTAACTGGACTCTCAGATTCTTTTTCCTATTTTTTGTATGGTGACTTATTTAGTTGTGGTTGTCACCCATATACCTTGTTAAGCAGTAATTGATTGGCTGTCAAAGTGGGGTTTTTTAACCAAAAACCGTAATTTGACACTGATATACTGTTCACATCAGCACCGTTTTGATGTGTCAATATTAAAAGTGGCGATGAATGCAGGATTCTAAAAAGGCAGTGGCTATTGTTACGACGATGCTTTCACATCCCCCCATCGGCGAAATTAAAAACTGAATAGTCGTAAAAATAGTCCTAACCCTAACCCTACCCATCTTTTAATTGCTGCCTTCAGTTCTGAAAACGTTGAAAATACTGCTCCTTTTTCAAAGCTGGTGTTGGGGAAATTGGCAGCCATTTTGGATTCGTTCTAAACTTGGCTCAGACTCGTCGTAACAATAGCCACTTTGTTCTGAAAAAAAGGTTGTGCCGTTGTGGTGGTAACAAATGTAGCAAATGGGTTGCTCTTTTCACACATTCTATTAAAAAAAAAACCTGCAAAGCGTGAAATACACTCACACAGCAGCTTCCCCCCATATTTGAAAGAAATCTGCTAAAAACTTTTGCCTCTATCGCGTTGACACATTTTTGGCAAAGAGGGGAGGGGGATAACTCTTGAACGAAATATCGCAGAACACTGAATATCGATAGGTTTCGTCCTCTCATGACCCAAATGCTTTCCAGCCAAATTGAAAGAAATCTGTTAAAACTAAAGCATCCATCGATTTTTAGTAAGGGGGAGGGGGTAACTCCTGAATGGAAAGTCGCAGAACGTTGAATATTGCTAAGGTTCATCCGCCCATGACAGCCAATGTTCCCCAACACATTAGAACAAATTTTGTTAAAACTGGGTCATTCCATGTCAAGTGGACCAGTGTTTGTAAAGTGACCCCCTCAGAATATTAAGAAAAAAATATATGGTATAGTACATACAAATTAATGTAAACCTTCAAAGTTATATTACTCTAGCTTTGATAAAGACTGAGATATGACCTTTTGAACAGGGGTGTTCTTTCGCAGGTTTTGAAACTACTATTCTATGACTCGATTTTGGTGTACTGATTTTATATCTTCTAGTAAGACAATATTCTTGAAATTGAGGGTTTTGTAAGAGAATATTATATAGTTAAGAATGCACTATCGAATTTTGCAGAACAAGTACCATCAACTGTGTGTGGAGTGCCCTAAGTGGCAAAATTTGATACTTGTGCAAATAAATCAATATTTCAATACAGTGTAGACATTTTACTACACTATATTAGAAGTTGTTACTTATCATATGTATAATGTATCAATGGGTATTGTTTGAAAAAACACTATTAAAAGCCATATCTTTGCCGGTTTCTTGAATTTATGCAGAAAATATTTAACAAGGATTTAATGTACTCGAATATTTCGGATTGTGAGGAAGATACAGATGATACACGCTTTTCAATTTCGAGTGACAAGACGTCAGCGAATGTGCCAACAATGCCTCCCCAAAAATCAGTGGGCTGTGAACTTTTTTAACAGTTGGTCAGTGTGGCGGAATAATAATCACGATAGTGAGCGAAAAAACCTCTTTGCGCTGGAAGATATGAGTATATAAGATCTTATTTTTTTGATGTTTAGATTCGTCTTGGAAGTAAGCAATATAAAATGTGAAATATTACCCACCGAATTCCATATTTCGTTATGGGAATAGTTTCTCATTTACGGATTACAAATAAAACTGACGTGGATATACTTACACAATCCAGAATTCGAGTTTCAGACAAATTCTTGATGGTCAGATGAAGAAACTAAGTAACATGGGCCTGGCAACGTCAACGTCAACCGAGAACACTGCAAGAATTGGCCGTGGCACTGCAAGAGGACTGGGTCAGATTGCCCCAAATCTTGATTGGACGGTTGATTAGGAGCATGCCACGACGAATTGCTGAATGTCTGAGGATTGGTGGAGCAATTACTCATTATTAAGACAAAAATCAAAAACGTCCATTTTCACTTTTGACAGGTATCCCTTTGCGAATGAAATGGGACCGTTAGATAAGCCGCCTATATGAACTGTTTATGTTCATGTGTAGGCAATTGGCCTGTTATTAACATACACTGGTTACCTCTAATAAATACAGCAGTTAATTTCCGCAGTTTTGTATTGTTTCTGAATATCCCCTACTTTTTTGGAACAGTATATATTACTATTCCACCATAAAGATGGGGAAAATCGAAACGAACTGCCCGACAAAATGGCCCTCTTTGTACCCAAAGTGTGTAAAAGTATGTAATACGAAGGTTGTGGACCCTCTAGAGGTCACAATTTTTATACGATTTTGATGAAATTTAAAATAAATCTTTATATCCCAAGGATCTTAGTCCCTGTCGATATTTGCTCATTTCAGACCATCACTTTCTGCATTGTATCTTTTTGCGAATGAAATGGGACGTCAGATAAGCCGCCTATATGAACTGTTTATGTTCATGTGTAGGCAATTGGCCTGTTATTAACATACACTGGTTACCTCTAATAAATACAGCAGTTAATTTCCGCAGTTTTGTATTGTTTCTGAATATCCCCTACTTTTTTTGAACAGTATATATTACTATTCCACCATAAAGATTGGAAAATCGAAACGAACTGCCCGACAAAATGGCCCTCTTTGTACGCAAAGTGTGTAAAAGTATGTAATACGAAGGTTGTGGACCCTCTAGAGGTCACAATTTTTATACGATTTTGATGAAACTTAAAATAAATCTTTATATTGTTTTTCATAAATTAATAACAATATTGCTTTGATACTAACATTGCCTTTACATACCACTTACCCTTAACTTACGAGAAGCTACGTATATTTAAGTGAAATCTAGTAGTTAAGAGACTAACTTAGATATAAGATTTCTTTTGAATACGGGCCCACTAAAGGATATTTATTTTGGGTTGGAATTATTACGAATGACCCATCTTCATTAGTCCAGTCGGTGCAGAACAGTAGGATGTGAAACCCCAAAATCGGATAAAAATTGGGACTTCTAGGGGGTCCACAACCTTGGTATTGCATACTTTTACACTATTTGTGAACGAGGAGCCACCATTTAAGTCCATTTTGTTGGCAATTTTAGTCCGACATCCACGAAATTCGAACTCAACCATCATTAGGGTGTAGCGGTGATACATCTGAACGGTTTTTAAAATCGAATAAAAATTGTGACCTCTAGTGGGACCACAAGCTAAAAACGTTATTTTTCGTACAATCAGGGGCCATAATCCAGGAAGTTACAGTCCGATACATGCCAATATCGAAAAGAACCGAGATCTTTGGGAGATAGATCTGTGGGATATAGGCCTATATTTCAAGTTTCATCAAAATCGGATAAAAATTGTGTGACCTCTAGCGTGTCCACAAACAAATTGTGAACGGACAAGGGCACAAATAATGACAAATAATGCCACTTCTACTGAAGGTATATATTAAAACACTTTCGTGACGACATAAACTGAATGAGAGCTGATGCAATTAGCTTTTTGAAATTTGACACAATTAGGCTTTTGCTTCTTACTTTATTTTATAATTCATACCTTGACATTCTTTTCTAACAAAACAGTTTGTATAGTTGTATCCATTCCCTTGACATCTTTCTCGCAGAACACATCTATTACCAAAAGTACACTGTAATTATTACAAGACAAACTAGACGTTAACTTTAACACCAGAACATATAAATCGCTAAAATTACACTAAAGGATAGACTACGTCTTTCCCAAAACAAGAACCAGTTTGAGATGAATCAGTATACATAGATTAAACATACATTCCCACAAAAGTATTTGTAGGGTGGTTAATTCCAATAAACCTGTGGCAAATTTGGTATATATGGGAAGTATAGACGCCCAATCTTACTAGAAAAATACTGAATTACCCGAAAAACACCAATGGGGCAAGCACTGGGCAAAATGTCAGGGTATCACTAACTGGCAACTCGACGTATTGTATGCCAACTTATTGTCTGCCAGCTTGATTATTTCTTGATCGAAGGGTTTTGGGAAAAATTGAGGACTCTGCAATTAAACGGCAGAAAAGTAAGTTGGCAGAAAATATTTCAAGAATTTACTTAGACCTCAACATGTATGGTCAATGGACAGTAAGTAATGACAAATGCATTCTAAACCAGCGGTTGCCAGGCAAGATATACGCCCGCATTTAGCAAGCGATGGAGAGTGAACAAGCTAAAGAAAAAAGAAATTTGTTGTACAATCAGGGGCCATAATCCAGGCAGTTACAGTCCGATATGCGCGAATATTGACTGGAGTCGATGTCTTTGCCTTATAAACATACATTTCAAGTTTCATCACGATCCAATAAAAACTGTGACCTCTAGAGTGTCCCAAGCTAAAAACGTGATTTTTCGTACAATCAGGGGCCATAATCCATGAAGTCACGGCCCGATATATGCCAATTTCGAATGGAACCCAGATCTTTGGGAGATACACCTATATCTCAAGTTACGTTGAAATATGGATAAAAACTGTGACTTTTAGAGTGTCTACAAACAAAATGTGGGCTTACAAAAAATGAACCCTCCCTCAATCGAGTTAGATGACAAACATGGCTTCTAAAAATAGAACTTTTATAGCTTAAGGCATTTCCTCGCGAATACAAAGTTTTGAGAATGATTTGTAGCAAATTTTTGATAGATTAATAAGTTTGAATATGTTTTTAGTCCAAACATATCATATCACACAGCATTCTTGAAAAAGATCATTTGTGTTAAGACAATATGTAATCACGTTATGTGCTTCAGTTGCAGTTTGTACGGCCATATGTAATCTATATATATATATTTGTGACTGTCGTTTGTCTGTCTGTCTGTTCAGGTTTGGCGGCTACACTAGGTCTGCCCCGAGTCTGAAATTTGGGGTATAGGGGTAGCTCGGACCGGGGAGTAACATAGGCCAGGTGGCGTTAGTCTACCACTTCCGGTTTCGGAGTTATGACCCCCGAGCGAAGCCGGGTATCTGTCTGTCTGTCTGTTCGGGGTTGGCGGCTACACTAGGTCTGCCCCAAGTCTGAAATTTGGGGTATAGGGGTAGCTCGGACCGGGGAGTAACATAGGCCAGGTGGCGTTAGTCTACCTCTTCCGGTTTCGGAGTTATGACCCCCGAGCGAAGCCGGGTATCCTGCTAGTGCACTTATATTAAAAAAACAATATCTACTTACATTACAGTTATCGTGAGATGGATATTCACAGTTTTTACCCCAGGAGCTGGAACAACTACAACTATAATCTCCATTCGGATAAGCCTGGCAAGAGGCACCGTTTTTACAAGGGTTGTCATCACATGCTGTCTGTACACCTTCAAATACAAAATAATCGTGAAAAACAAAATGATTCGAGAAAACTTGAAATACAGTAACATATAATATTTCTTTGACTAACCCAGTAACGAAATGGAACGGGGTTTAATGTATCGCTGACACTTAATTTGGGTCATTTTGAAACCAACATAGGGATAATTACAGAGTTGGGAAAAATCATTATTTGTTTTAAAAAGTCAAAAGACAGCCACACAAATACGCCCACAAAACAGCTTTTCTTAATCGTAGCTCATCCGAAAGGAAAACTTGCATGTTGAGCAAATTGATAAGTATCTAGGACCCTTGCAGAAATCTAATATCCAGGGTATAACCTCTTATGACTCCATTGCTTTAAAAAAATCTGTTAAAACCTATAGCCTCCATCGCTTTCACGAGGTTTTCGGCAATTGGGTGATAACCCTGGAACGGAAGACATCGAATTATGAATATCGGTAGAGATAGATGATCCTAATGCTTCAAACCAAATATGAAAAATATCAACTAAAAACTTTAGCCTTTATCGCGTTCAAAAGGTTTTTCGGAAAAGTGGACATAACTCCAGAACAGAAAGTCGCAGAATGCTGAATATCGATAGGGTTTGTCCCCTAATGAACACGATACTTCACATCAAATTTTACATAAATCTGTTGAAAACTATAGCCTCTATCGTGTTCACAAGAACGGAAAGTCGAAGAACTCTTAATATTGACGAGATACATCCTCTCAAGACCCCAATGTTTCCCACCAAAATTCAAATAAATACGTTAAAAACCATAGCCTCTATCGTGTTAACAGTGTTTTCGGTAAAAGGTGGGGGTCTCTGAAAAGAAAAGTCGCAGAACGCTGAATATCGATAAGATTCGTACTACCATGATCCCAATGTTTCAAACCAAATTTGAAAAAAATCTGTTTAAAACTATAGCTGATCGTATTCACAAGGTTTTCGACAAAGGGAGATATTCTCTCATGACCTCAATGCGTCACACCAAATTAGAAAAGAATCCATCGAAAACTATAGCCTTTATTGTGTTCACAAGGTTTTCGGAAAAGGGGGAAAAACTCCGGTAGGAAAAGTCGCAGAAATCTCAAATGTGGGCGTATAAAAATCAGATTTATAAAAATTAAAATCAAATTGCCTCTATTATTATTAGTACCAGCGGTTGCCATGCAAGATACGCCCACATTTTGCAAGCGATGGACAGAGAACAAGCTAAAAAAAAGCGTGATTTTTCGTACAATCAAGGGCAATTATCCAGGAAGTTATGGTCTGAAATGCGCGAATATCGAACGGAACTGAAATCTTTGGGATATAGATATATATTTTAAGTTTCATTAAAATCAGACAAAAATTGTGACCACTAGAGTTTCCACAAGCTTCGTATTACATACATTTACACTATTTACATACATGGAGCAGCCATTTTGTCGGGCAGTTTCGTTTGAATTTTCTAGAAAATCGAACTCTACCTTCATTATGGTGAAACAGTGATATATTTAAATGGTGTTTAAAATCGAATAAAAATTGTGACAAGCTCAAAATGTGATTTTTCGTACAATCAGGGGCCATAATCCAGGAAGTTATGGTCTGATATGCGCGAATTCTCTAATCCGTCAATGTTCGAAGGGAGATAACTCCACCGCTATAGGCGCTGGGGTATTGGCAGCAGACGTAAACACATTTCTTTTTTACTTAAGAACGATAACACAGTTTTTATGAATTTCCCGTTGATGAGCATTGACGTAAGTCATGGGTGAATGCTGTCAAGAGAAATATTGTGACAGAAGACGGGAAGGTTCACCCGTGGATCCCGAGTGATAGCTCTAAGCTTTGTAGCTGGCATTTCATGAGTCCGACAAATCCATCATCCGGGCAAAAAAAATAACAAACATGTACTACCAACATTACGTGAACTACAACCGCCCTGGGGATCACGGTGGCTAAGTGGGTAAGGCGCTGGCTCGCTAGCCTGGAGGTCGGGTGTTCGATCCCTGCATTGGCCGAGAAAGTTCATCCAGATTTTCCGGAGTGGCTCTCCCTTGTCAGCGATGCAGGACAGAGCGCCTGTCAAGAACAGCTGGCCAGTCGTTCGGATGGGACGAAAACCCGAGGTCCCGTGTACACATTGGCGTGCGCGTAAAAGATCCCTTGACAGTTGGAATTCGATATAAGAGCAGGCCGTAGTGCCGCTGTCCGGGCAAAATTTCCCTCATAGCACACTGTATGGGGTATGCCCGTCTTCATTAGCCCAGTTCGGAGCAGAACAGTAGGACGTTAAACCCCATTTCATTTCATTTCATTTCTACAATCCAGCTCCTGTAAATTGGCATTAAAATCTACGAATTACCGGTAGTCCTATTATAAGGGGGGTTGGATGGCCGAATGGTTAGCGCGCGCTGTATCATAAGGTCTGTCATTGAGTCAACTGGCGTGGTTTCGAATCCCCGGTTGTACGTGACAAGGAGTAGGGTCGCCTGTCCAACCTCGTGGGTTTTCTCCGGGTCCTCCGGTTTCCCCCCACTGCTAAAGACCCCTAAGCGCAAGCGAATTATTTAAATAAATAAAAAATTAAACCATATGTTAGTCCCGAAATGACCTAGTTTGTGTCGAGTGGACGTTAAACCCCATTTCTCTCTCTCTCTCACTCCTATTATAAGGCCATGCCTGTTGAGGCCCATATAAATTATAATTATTGTCATATTTCCTACCATACCCGGTACATCAAACAGTCGACTATATTAGTATAAATTAGGCCTGGTGTATGGCCAGTCGAAATACTAAATAGCCTAGTCAAGATTGCCATAACATAAAATTAAGACCTTGTTCAGTTGTTTACAATTCACTTTCACTTTATTCAACTACCCTTTAGTTTGGCTCAAACTATTAAACAGTTTCTCTTGCTAGAGAATGAGGTCAAGTTGGTCATGATAGGAAATTACGAAAATATTTTTCGTACCTGTGCTTATCGAGTAAATTTTCAAGATCCCTTTCTCTGAAGATATTTTTGAAGTTGTGAAGAAATAAATTTCTCTTGATAACAGTAATAACACTTATAAAATTAAAAATATAACATAATGTTGTCAACAAACATGTATAAATTAAGTAATTAAGTCACTATTTACAATTAAATTAAAATTGTCAGTCATTACAGTTTTTTTTATATATATATTTTGTCAACAAACATGTATAAATTCAGTTATTACGCCACTATTTACAATTAAAAATAAAAACTATTAAACGATTTATTTATTGAAATAGAATAGGATATAAAAACCACTTCAGTGGCTGGAGTTCTGAATGTCTAAATTGCATTTCATAAGACATTAATTTTCTTACAATTGTATTTGTATAAAATAATTTAGCCTCATCATACACATCATTGCATGTCATTAGACATTAAGTTTGGTACAATTATATTTGTGTAAAATAATTTAGCCTTACCATACACGCCATTCCAAAAATCTAAATCAAATGACATTGTATTATTTATAATTCCTTTACTGGACCATACAACAAAGTCAGCTTTATGTATTTTAGTTATAGCCATTTGACTTTCTATTTGGGTATAATATGTATGTGAAGGAATTAGATTTAAGTAATAAATAGAATTTGTAAAATGTGTAATTTGTTTGTTTTCAATGGTTTTTGGACATTTAATTTCAACTATTATTTTATCCTCACAACAAGAACATGAAAAATTCTGTCAACACTGGTTGCAAACCAACCCTTATTTGAAACAATTAACCCTTTCTCCATTAGATTACAGTCAGTGTGTGTTTTCTGTTTTTCTTTTAGATAATCAGAAGCTGCAGTATTTATATTTCCCTTCATTTTACTATTGCCCATTATATCTTCTATAAGTCAGTCATTGCTCTACCATGATCAAGTAATGTTTTTCCTGATTTTACTCGTGTGTAAACATTATGTATTTTGCAGGATGTAATGGCACATTTTCGATAATGAAACCAGTTTTTATTTTCACTTTGTTTTCTTGTTAATGATTCGATTGCATTTATCCCAGAATCAGTATAGCAAAGTATAGTCATAAAGTCATGAATATTTGTATTTTGTCTCTTGCTAACAAGATATTTCGATTTTTCCAAAATTGATTTTTTTTTTTTTTTTGGGGGGGGGGGGGGGGTGGTAATAATTCTGTGTATATATCGGTAATAAAAGATGGTACTTATTCAACTGCATCCAAGTTAATATATATCCTTAAGATCTGAGGGTCAAAAATGTTTACAAGGGTTTATTATTTACGGGTCTCCACTTATTATTGAGATCCACCGATTTCAACCATGGAAAATTTGGACGACATAAATTAAGATCATCAAAAAGCTGTTGTGCCTTTTCAAATTTTACCCCATCCTTTAGAGGATTAACTGGATTAAAGATGCTACTCTTCAAATCTTTTAACCACCTTGAGAGGTCCTCTTTTGACAATAGGAACGTCTTTAAGGGGTTTCACTTGAATATGTTTTGATTTTGGTGCAGGCCATGAACATAAAATGCACAAAGTGTCGGGTAATTCTGCTAAAACTTTACTAACAATATCTGCTAGGCCACATTAGGCTAGCAACATGGGAGTATGCCTCGATCAATCCTGCTACACATAAGCAATGGCCACCCAGTGGTTTACCACTAGATTTATCTAAAACAATGCATGCGTCATATACAGTTACAGATGTATCCCAAGATGGGTTACTTTTGAAGCGTAAAGCACAGTATGAATAATTATCTGCAAGATTGTTAAACCGAACAGAATGTTTATGTCCTGAGGCCCAAAGTTCGTAACTGCGAAAAGCTTTATATCGCTTAAGTGTTTTTGATGTGAATCCTTCAAAGTTTGAAGAACATGTTTTAATATCATGAGCATTAATCAAATATTCTACAATCTGTGAAAGTGTTGTAGATGGCAAATATTTAAGATTTTGGGTCCAGCCCTTAACTGAACTTTTAATGTCACAAATATGTTGATGAAGCACACTAGTAGATTGATTG